AGATGAAAAACTTTGACCATCCAGAAAGGGACATGTTTTTAAAATGAAATGATCAAACAATTTTTTGTACACCTTTGTTTCATTAATTAGAACAATATCCATTCGTATGAAAGCTAGCAGAAACTCGCGCCACCTGCGAAGTTTGCTCAACATTCAGGAAAACTAAGTAAAATGAAGTTATTCGCTTACGGAATCAAAAAATGAAAAGCCTTAACACGTGCAAAAAGGAACTGCTGCTTCTCCATATTTGCAGCTTTTAAAACAGGATTGAAATCTGACTAACTTCCATAACCTCATGAAACTAACTCCTTAGGCAGTGGAAAAAAATACAGGTAAGCAATTGAAGAGCGGGAGAAAATATTAGAAAATACATGAAAATTTAGTTCCAAAAACGATCCATAATTAAGAAAAAATGATTAAAATCAAAAGCGCAAAAAGAAGAGCAATGTTTTCACTGCGAGATTTTTAAAAAGCTCGCTGTGACGATTTAACATGCAAATATACCTCCAGTATGTCAAAAAATAAATAAGGTAAGGAGAGAATTACGCTGATCAAAATGAAATGCAGAGGGAACTCAAAGCTATAAATGAACAGTTAAAGCGTTGAACCTTGTAACAGTTACAACAATTTAAATGGTCAGCGCTTTGCGCTTGGAAGTTCAAACAACTGCACTCCTTTCTTCTGCCCAAGCTCCTTAACTCCTTGAGGAGTGAAGAAAATGAACTGATTGTAGGGGTACTGCTGGGTCGCCAATTCAATAAGGAGTTCCATAACAAGCTTGCGGTTGCTCAAGTCCAGAAAAACGTCAAACTCATCCATGCACCTAAATACGACCCAAATAAACCCTTTCAGATTGAGAAAATACGTTTGAGGTCACAAGTAAAGCCAGGCACTGCAAAAAAGCTGTACGACAGCAACTCAGCGAATGACCAACGCGCAGCAGATTAGAGACAGTGCATGCTAATCGGATGTAAGAGCTCTTTGAAAGACTGCTAAAAAAGGGTCTTCTGGAACTATTATTTTTCTATATAACACATTATTACTAAGTGCTGTCGGGAAGGTGTCTACCACTCACAGATACCGAAGTAGCAGCTTATAATCAGTATGATCTGGGAGTCAAATATAAAAAAAGTCCACTTACCGAAAAGGAGATTCCATTATTTCCCATAAAGCCATGATGAAACAGGCTAATGTGTAAGTACGCTCACCACCCGACAGACCTGTAAAGTGAAAATATACAAAAAAATTTGAAAGCGTCATTCCCAACATACAAGGAGGAAAGCGTGAGTCTCATTTCAGAAAAAAAAAAATTTGCTTTTATTTTCTGATATTCCTCTCACATAATATGAAAAGGATTCTAAAACCTTTTAGATCTCTTGACATTCCCCCAACGTCCTGAAGGCTAAGGTCAGTGTTTGGCGAAAACTCCCGTTCATAACCTTTCCTCTGGTGAGTCTCCGCCTACAAAAAAGTTTCCTAATAGAAAATAAACAAAGGTTTTGGATAAACAATAGAATTTAAGTTAGTTAGTCAATGAGACCAGAATTCCTCTCATTAAATCGCAAGCTTGAAATTTGGCAGAAGAATTTAGTTTTTACCGATATTAAAAAGTTAAGCACAAATACAATCCGTCAAAACACCAAATGGTGGAATGGAAAAAACCACAAAGTTTTAGTTGACATTTAATAAAGAAACCATAGCCTAATGATCCAAAAAGTTTGCGGTTCCAGGTTTATGCGAAGAGAAGTAAAAAGTAATTTTACCCTCAACATGGCTGTTTTAACCGCGAATGGTAGAAAGAATACAAGTTTACTGAAAAGGCAACTAGTGAAGGAAATATATTGAAAACCTACGATAACTTCAATAACTTTTTGTTGGTGATCAACGACTAATCGGCCTCTAAAGTTCCTCATTCCCATTAGTCGCGAATAAGCAGAACACAACCGGAGAGCAATAGAATGCCTAACTATTACAAGCTTCTCTCGCCTTAACTTCAGTGAATACTCCAGGCTCTAAAAACCACCCTGCTTGATCTACCAAAAGACCCCACGCAAATGACTAAACAAAAGTATAACACCAAGAAGATTATAACAAAGAAAAGGAAAAAAAACACGGCTTTAAAAAAGCATGCAAGTATTTGCTGCCACCAAAGAAACAAACTAATACAAACACAAGACCTTCAGAAGCTTGACAAGCTTATCGTAGTCTTCGCGAGACTTCCGGAAATCGTTTTTTAAACACTGGAGATCCTCCATGACCGTGGCGGCACTTCCCAAACTGAAGATATCAGAAGTAAATGGGTAGACCAAGAAACTCATCACCCATCAAAAATATCTATATCAACGCTTTACCGTTCCTTAGCAGCCTTTATGAACTGCTCAAGATTATCATACTCTTTCCTTGTTACATCACTATCTGGTAAGTCCTCTAGATTTGGCGGATTAGAAATGCCAGCGGGACAAGGAAGAGAAGCACAGCTTCTTGTGCCTTCCAAAGCCTTTTCGTAATTCCCTCTAAAAAAACGACCATCAAAAAGTAAACTAGAAGATTTTAGTAAGGCTGATTAAAAACAATAAATTCCTGGCAGTAAATAATGACGGTACAATATAAGTAGCCAGAAAATAAACGACTTCGCTTGAAAGGAAATGGAAAAAACAACAGAAATTTTGAAAAGCTCAACAAACCTTGCCAAAACAAGCTGCTGTTCACAGTCTTTCTTTTTGGATCGCAACTTAGTAATGTCGTTTATCAAAACTGTCTTGCGACCTTCGAAATTTCGATGCTCAGCTAAGAGAGCATCTCTCTTTTGCTAAATTTTTGCTTACATTTAAACTCATAAAAAGAAAAAGAATTCCGGAAAGAAATTGTACTTTGATTTTGTGTAGATTACTCTCAGAGCTTCGTAATTCCAATTCAACAGCTTTCTTCTCATTTTGAGCCCCAAGAAGATTCTGTTCCAAGCAGTTGGAACTAAGCTGCTCTTCCTCCAAACTACGCTCTAAAAGTTCTTTCCTTCGCAGAAACTCTTCCTTACTAGATATCTGAAATGAACCTTGATCCATTTTGATTGCAAAAACTATCAAATAGCACTCAACACACTACTAGTGATCCTGTTAATGCTCTAATATTATATATCTAAGTGTGATATGTTCTGGCGATTATAAAAATGCAATTTATGTTTCAGAGCAGCATTCTGATTTCCCAAATGAATCCACCGACAAAAACAACCGTGCAAGTAATTTAGAATGTTCAACTCAGTGGGTCCATTACGTTGAATAATTATAACTTACATTCAAATCTCTCAAAGTTAAATTTCTCAAATTTACTTACTAGATTAACGATCTGATTATCTGCATTTTCATCCAACCGCACCCGATCAATTCCTTTTTGTAAAGAACGTTTCCTCGAGATTGTTTTTTCCACTTCATGAGCCAAATCTTTGATTCTTTTTCTTAGTTCATTTAGTTGACATTTAAGCTCCGTGACCCTCCTTCCCGCCTGAATCAATTTGGACGATGAAATGACAAAGCCGCTGTTGAGGTGTTTTGAAGCCTTAGCATTAAAAATGGCAAATAACCTGCTGATGCAGTTCTTGCGCATTCCGCAAATCACTGTGTAACTCATTGAAGTGCGACTGTAAGGACCTTCAAAAAAATGCAAATAAGGATTAATACAACATTCATTTTTCAAACTATAACTTGCAATTCAAAAAAAAATGTCGAAGATATATAAGTCTTAAAAGAGAATAGTATTAAAATATGTTTTTATTTTGTTCCAGCCACAGCTAGTACCAATAAGAAAACGAACGAATTAAGAGCTTTAGGAATCCACAAACAGCAGCATTCTACTTCGAAAAACCAAAATTCCCTTCTTCATCAACAAATACAAATAAACAAATTACTGGGAATCTAGAGACGAGCAGCCAGCGAGAAATCGAATTCTGGAGCCGCCCATATTTGGATAAAAGCGATACATTTTACCAGGTAAATTTGGAAAAACTTCAGATCCAGTCAAAGTGAAGCCTTTAAAAACATTCTCCGGTGGCTAAAATTAAATTTTATTTAGAAAATAACAGTTCATCCAGTATTGAAAAAGCGCAAAGTAAATTCCTCCCAGAAAGTCACATACTAACTTCATTGTACATGATTTGTCTCGCTAGATCATCCGACTCAATCAACAAAATTGACTCCATTTGAGTCTGATCTACAAGCGCATTGAAGACGTTACTATCAGAAACTTCTATAGCACGCATGACAGTTAAGTGTTCCTTAGGTGGCTCGTAACTGGAGGTATCATAGCGATGATTCGTGAACCTAAAAACTGTAGTGAAAGTCTTCACCTACATTGGGAAACATACTTTAGGCGACTGAAAGTACTGAAAGAAAAAAAAACATAAATAGCTAACAGTAAAAAATGTGCCACAAAACAACTACTTCTGTAGATGTATAATATTCTCACAAAATACCTCTAGTAACTCTAAATAAACTATCAACGCAATTCGAACTAAAACAATTTCAAAAGGACAGAAAAAAAAGAAATTAGAAGATATGCAACTGGTCCGAAAAAACCGAAATCAAAATATAATAAAGGCTAAGACTTCAATTAGGCTAACTCCATTAATGCAAGTTCACCTTGAAATGATGAAACTAGGATGACTAGTTATTCCATTTTTTTTTAACAATGTTTCCAGAACCTCTTTGTCCCGAGCGCTCTCGCAAAGAAAACATTTGATGACATTACTAAATGCAAGCTCAACAGCCAGAGTCCAACGCTGATCACGCATCTTAATAAAAAGCCCTATAAAAGACGCAATTCAACAGCCCTGAGTAACCATTATGATCACTTTTGCAAAAAATGTTAACCTATAGGTCCGACTGGCTTTTTCCGAAACTTGTCAGCATTTGATTCAATTATATTCAAAATTGCTGGCATCTCTACCCCAAATCGAGCTAAATCACTTTTCGAAATCGCGTCAGCTTTATTTTTCTCGGCCGCTGTTTTCCTCAATTCACTTTCAATGACCCTTTTGTCGCACCTAAATGACCGTGGAAGAACTGCTAGATAAGAAGAAAAAGCCTTCGAGTAACACAAAAACCGGCTAAGGGGAAATAAAGTCTCTGAAGCCAACCTTTGAACATTAGAATCAGAAGAGAATTTCATGGCAGAAAATCACTAGAAACCACTACAAAAAACGCTAATATCAGGTGACTTCAAAAAGTGCATAAGAGAAAAAATTCAGTCAAATACGAAACTAAATATAAAAAAACTCATTAAACTTTACAAACGCTTCTGTTCCAGACCAACAGCCTCATCCAGTTGACCTTCGCACTTTC